AAATTTCTTCACCACATTTTGCTATAGCTTCTGTGTTTCCCTTATGAGGGTGAATATAGAGTAGGACCATGTTGTAAGAACAAATTGTTCTTAAATTGGAGCTAGGATTTAGTGCAAGCCCCAAATCCAATCCTGCACCTGTGTTTTCTTTATCTGTTTCTGGCTCCCTTTAGAAACCTTTTTGTTAATTTATGGTAGAGAATCATATTGATCATCTCTCTGGAACTTCTGTTAATAGTGTCATTGATTAGTTCCCTGGTACTAATTTTTAAAACACTGTTGATTGAGGGATATTGGACCAATGTAAGCTAACTATATAAGAGCGTACCTCCCCAAACCCTGGAATTGCACTGAGCAGAGTGGAGCTTTTGTCGTATGTGTTTTTTCCACTAGGCGAGCATCAGGCAACTTCTTCTGAGATAGTGTACCCAGTGGCATCACCTGGGAAGGTTCTCTCTGGCCACAGTAAATTTTTTCATAAAAGCAGTTTCACTCAACCTCCTTTTTTTTTTTTTTTGATGGCCGATTTAAGAGAACAGCATGTGGTTGTTGTGAAATTTTCCTGCTTGGGGAAAAATGCTTCAGAAACTATGGTGATATTGAACACAGCTTACAAGGACAGCACTATGGGAAAAACTCAAGTGTATAAGTGATTTTCTCTTTTCAAAAAAAAAGGTGAAATGTCAATTGATAACAAACCTCATTCTGGATGTCTGTCAACTTCCAGAATAGACAAATATGTTGACTTGTAGTACATTTGGAGTTCATTCCACTAGGTCAGACTGTTAATCAAGCTTTCTATTTAGAGGTTTTGAAAAGATAGTGTAGCACTTTGTGACAATAAAGGCCTGATTTATGGCAGATGGAGGCCTGGTTTTGCCATCATGACTATAACTAATCACGCAGCCACCTTGCTCTGTGCAATTTCTTTTTGTTTCCATGAATGCAGAGGGACATGAAAGGAAGCAATTTGATGACATAGAAGAGAAGAAAAATTGAGCGAGGTGCTATCAGCTATGCAAACATGAGTTTGAAAAATGTTTTCAAGAACAGAATCACAGATTTGAAAAATGTATTAAGTGTAATAGAGAGTACTTTGAAGGTGATAAAGTAGCTTTGTAAAAATTTAAATGCATAGCCTTGAAAAAAAATTCGTTTTGGGGAGTGTCCCCTCATATATTGCAATACCTCAATTATTCACTTGTACAGAATAAATCCTTATGTGGCTGGATGCTATTTACACAAACAATGGGAGTTGGTTATTGGGCAAAATTTACAATAATATTCATTGACAATGTCAATCACAGGTCTCCCAGAATAATATAGATCTTAATACAGCAAGTGGGACATTGGTCAACTTAGTCACACTAAGCATACTATCTCTTAGCACAGCTATTATGCTGAGCATAATACTCAGCATAGCTATCTTCTGCTTCTGCAAAGACTGTGAAATTGCAGTGTCACGTCCTCAGGTTACAGGTGTGTGTCAGGTAGAATCTAGTTCACCTAGTGGAGTTTCCACTTCAAATCCCTCTGGTTTGGCATTTGGAGTGTCTTGTGTACCTTAAAGATCCAGGAGTCAATGCCCCAGTGTTCTATAATACTTGGCCTGGGTCCCCAAGGTGTGGCTTATTAGTTGCATACTACCAGGCATACTCCCAACTTACGGTCCCTAAAAGTATTGTTAGTCATTTTTACCCCACTTGGAAGTTGATCCTCTTCTTTTTTATACCAAAGCCATGTCCTTGGCTTCTCCCGGATGTGTCTGTTCCCTTTCCCCTCTCCTGACTTGACGTTCCCATCAGTATCCCTCATCCCTCGGAGACGAGTGTGTCTGCCTGTCTGGGGGGACTTAATCATAACTTTGCATACGCCATGGTGTTTCCAATTGCCTCATATGCATATGGAAGTTGATCATTGAGTAAGGAAGACTGGAGAAGAATCAATGTTTTTCAATTATGGTGTTGATAAGGAATATCAAAAGTACCATGGACTGCCAAAAGAGCCAAGTAATCTGTTTTGAAAGATGTACAGTACGCGAGAATACACCTCAGAGGCAAGAATAATGACCCTTCGTCTCACTTCCTTTGGACATGTTGTCAGGAGAGAGCAGTCCCAGGAAGAGGATCATGTTTGGCAAAGTAGAGGAACAATGAAAACGAGGAAGAGCCTTGACAAGATGGATTGACACAGTGGCTGCAGCCATGGCCTCAAACCGCAACTCTGGGGGTGGCACGTGACTCACACTGGTGCCTTCTGCTCTACATAGATAGGCTCACGATGAGTTGTATCTGACTCCACAGTCAGACTCTAGCAACAACAGCACGCAGCCATTTTGTTCATAAAGGTGGTTGTTTTCAAAATTGAAAGATAAGAGCACTTTCAATCCTTTATTATGATTTGAAATTATGTTTTCTCTCTCTCTCTCTCTCTCTCTCTCTCTCTCTCTCTCTAAATATATATATATATATATATATATATACATAGCTCTATCTATCTATCTAATTTAAAAGCAGCAATGTATTCTAAAACTGAAAGGCATTTATTTTTTCTAAAATAGAATCTGTTCTTTTGTCTGAGTGAGGGCGAAACATGCTTCTCATTCATTTAATAATATTGGTTGTATTTAGGACAATTGCTAATTCTTTATAATCATTTCTAATTATTTCTTTTTTTTTAAATCAATTTATTGGGGCTCATACAATTCATCACAATACATAGATCAATTGTATAAAGCACATCTATACATTTGTTGCCCTCA